ACTGCAGAATTTTTGCATACCTGCTGAGCTAACTTGATTTGAATCTCAATTCACATTCTCCTTTAGGCATCTAATTTGGTGGAGATTGAAGGCGACCACAGTTAGAAGCCTAAATTCCTTTTATAGGTAGTGGAGAGAGGTGAGGACTTCTAGAAAGTGACTAAATCTAGCAAGTTACATTAGCATATTCCTCTCACATTGTTTAATGAGAAGTGTTGGATCTCTTCTTAGTGCACTGAATGTTCTTTTGATTGACTGTATAAAATTTGTGTCTTTTTTTTTTTTCCAAAAAAAGCTTATTAGAAACCTGAACTTGCAGAAGCTGAGCAGTAGATGAAAAAGAGATAAATACTGTATGGAGAGAGTTTTCAGGCAGAAAAGTCTGTAATAAATTTGCATGGAGATATTGGAGGAAATTGTTTCATTTCCTAGCTAGTTTTAAAAAAATATATTTAAAGTTTTCAGTTAAAATAAAAAGATTGGATTAATTGCATCAGATTTTATACATCTGTTGGTAATTCTGGCATGAGACTGCCAACATTTGGAGCAACTTTTGGAGATAGTTGTTTACAGAAATCTTTAAATGTGATCAGGATTTACTTTTAAATATCAGTCATTACTTTGCACTTTTATCAGGAGTTAACTGCTCAGTATGTAGGTTTTTTAGCATACAGTGTAAACCATATTTCCATATATATATGTTCTTTTTATTTCGGGTAGGTTGGGAACTTTCAAGTCTGATCCTCCTATACCAAAGCAACGGATTGAGAGGCAGAAAAAGGCTGCAAGAGGGGAAGAAAAACGGGCAATGCCTGCTCAGGTTGGTGAACTGTTGTCTCTATTAAGCATTTTTTTATGGCATGATTATTACAAATTACTTTGAAACTTTCTATTCATGTTGTTATGGGTTTTGTAGTTACGAACTGTGTAGTACCAAAGGATTCAGACTTCATGATAAAATTGCTTGATTTGTTTTGTGTGGACTGCAGTATTTCACTAGGAAACAGGATTTGCAGGCTGATTTCAAGTTCAGAAATAGGATTTACAGACTGATTTTTTTCAAGTTCAGATTAGCTTATTTGCTCTGATGCTTGTTGCTTGGAAAGTAAGCAGGAAACATTTACATTAGCGTGTCTTCAGCTTTTGTTTAAAAATTATCAAACAGTGTGTGGTACAGAAACGTGGTTAACAACAGCAAAGTAATTAGCTCACTTTACTGTTTTCTCTGCTTTCTGTTTCCTGTTCTTTCTGTCTAACTCTGTCAGAAAGGCAAAAGTCTGAGAGCATTTACAGAGAGGCTTATGTCTGAAACTTTGGAAAAAATAAACCATGTTGTTATCACAGAGTGGTGGGGGCTGGAAGTGACCTCTGGAGATCCTCTCGTCCAGTGTTGCTGCTCCAGCAGGGTCACTCAGAGCAGGGTGCTCAGGACAGAGACCAGGCAGGTTTGGAATCTCTCCAGAGCAGGAGACTCCACAGCCTCTCTGGGCAGCTGCTCCAGGGCTCAGGCACCCTCAAAGTCAAGATATTTTACCTCCTGTTCAGGTGGAACTTCCTGGGTTGCAGTTCGTGGCTGTTGCCCTTGCTGTGCCACTGGGCACCACTGACAAGAGTCTGTCCCCAGCCTCTTGACCCCCACCCTTTAGCTATTGATGAGGATTGATCAGGTCCCCTCTCAGCCTTCTCTTCTCCAGGCTGAACAGCCCCAGGGCTCTGAGCCAGTGGGGAACCTCTGGCTGATAATGCCAGTACACAGAGGCAAAATATTATGTCTTTGTAAATGCAACCTACTTCATAATAACCCAAACAGTGGTAGAAGTTACTCTGATGCAGTCTGTGCTGGGAAGAAGGGGGGCTGGGGAGTTTGAGAGAGCTTCTTCCAGTGAGTGACTGCTTGTTGTGGTTTGCTTAGGTAGACACCCATGAACAGCATAGATGTTCATCTGTGTTGGATACATGGTTTCCTGTGAAAGTTTCTGTAGCTTCATTGCAGGGTGGTCCAAGAGAAAGCCTCAGCAAGGGGAACAGCAGACAGGTTACTGGAGGCTGTAGGGGAACAGTGACTTTGTTGCTCAGATGGTTACAGTACTTGAGGGATGATTTGGAGTCCCATGCGTAACAGACAATGAAGAAATCTGTAGGATCACAATAATCATGTCCTTTCACCATGTCAAACTTCATGCTGTGACGTTTCTTACCTGTAAATTTAGGTGCCTTTTTTAAAAGAAGATGGAAGATCTTAATAAGCTGCCCTTCTATGCTTTTAAGTAAACTCACAGACTATGTACCACTAGGGGTAGGTAACCCAGTTCCACAGAACCATAGATTCATTTTGGTTGGAAGACACCTTTATGATCAACTCCAACCTTTAACCCAGTACTGCCAGGTCACCACTAAACCATGTCCCTCAGTACCATATCAGTAACTATGGGAAAGTAGGTGTAGACCTGTAAATAATCTCAAAATGTACAAACTGGGGCCTCTCCATTTGATATTTTAAGGTAGGAATTAATTCCTAAAACATTTCCAATTGTCTCATGTTTGCATAAGTGTGTCTTTAACTTTGTATGTGTGGTGTGGAGAGAAAAAAATGATCTTTTCTGTTATGTGTTCCTAAAAGGCCTTTTTCTTGTGTTGGAACAAAGATTATTTGAGGTGAAACTATGTTTCTCTTTTCTAGTTAAAAAAAATGGAACCGTCTCATCAGGAAGCTACAGAAAAAATAGTAGAGAGGATCTTGGGATTATTGCAAACACATTTTAAAAATGATCGTAAGTATGGCTCAATGGAGCTTGTAAAGCATTAATTTGAGAAAGTGAATACTCTTAATCTCCTACAGGTAGGGGTGATTAAACTATGGGAACAAAACTAGGTGGAGGTTGGGAGTATAAATCTTTATGTTGAAGGATACATAGTGACTGTGTGTTTTTGATGAACTCCAAACAGTTGCTGCTTGATTGTGAAGTAAGTTTCATTCCAGCCCTGTCCCCCAGAGCTCATGCAATTTTTTACAAGGCAAACAAATAGTCACTGGGTTTGTTTATGCAGGTGGCCAAAATGGAGGAAAATAATAATAGGATAAGAAACTTTGTTTCTTTCTGCAGGGAACTGGGAGTTCAGCATTGTAACTAAATGACACATTCTGCTAGCTTTTGAAAGTGTTGACTTTAAGCTTGTGTTTACATGTATTAGCTCTGTGTCTGCCACCTCTTTGTTTTTGTTTGTTTTGGTAACAAACCCCTTTTTGCATCTCTAGCTGATACTCCTATTTCCTTCTTTGATCTTGTGATCGACCCAAACTCTTTTGCACGAACTGTGGAAAACATCTTTCACGTTTCCTTCATTATAAGGGTAAGGCATCTTCTTGAAACCCTATTTTACATATTGGAATTATCTAGAAATAGTGATTTCTTTATTTTCTGGCTTCAATATTGACTGATTAGGATTTAAACATTAGGAATCCTAATTTCTTTCCTAGAAACAGCCTGATATTTTGGTAGTTGAATAAAAAGAAGACAGACTTGACAGACATTTTTTTTTTATTAGGTTTTTATACTATTGTCAATTTACCCACGAAATAGTAAGATTGTTGCTGTCAATATGCTTTTCAAAATGGGATTCTAGCTCCACTGGTTGAGATTATGGATGAGTAGTTGTAGACTATAGAAGAGTTAGAAAAGTAGTGCAATGTTTTATGTTCTTTTTCAATCTGCACATTTTCACTTCAAACTATACTTAGCCTCATAAAGAAAAATAATTTGAGAAAAGAGGAAAACTTGCAAATATGTTTTCACTAAATTCAGGTTTATAATGAATAATGAAGTTTTTATGAAGGGTTAACTCAAGTGTATTTAATAAATAATTATTATTTTTAATAAAGCAAATTGTTTATAATCCAAGTTACCAGCTGTCCTCTATCAGCTGCATTCTTTATGAGCAACTGCTGTATTTAAATAGTTTTTATTCTCTTAACTCTTAATAATTATCTTAATTATGCCCATTAAGATTCCTTATCAATATATGTACCTTTTCATGATTATATAATATATTAATTAAACAGATGACATCTCAGTGCATTATGCCAATTAGATAGCTCTAATTTCTGAAACTTTAAATCCTCCTGTCTTCTAGGATGGTTTTGCAAGATTAAAGCTGGATGATGATAAATTGCCAATAATAGGTAAAATCTAGCCTTAAAAGATGACTTTTTTTTTTATAACATTGAAAAGTAGCTCCATCTTTTGCATTTGCAAGGTTTTAGGCATATTTTTAGCTGCAAAGGCAGAGACATGGGGATATGTAGTGAATGTCACTGAAGGCGTGAAGCCATCTGAGAGGAACTGAAGGGACCTGAATCACTTTTATATATCAAAATATGGGAAAAGGCCATGATGTTGAGCTATACAGATTAATCCTATTAATAGAAACAAAAGGTTATTACCCTTCCTTTGAGTGATAATTTTGCTAATAAGCATCTGAACACTGTTACACCTTGCTGATAAAAGATACTTCTGTGTGCAAGAAGTCTCCTTTGTCTAGCTGAGTTGGGAAGTGCTGCAACTCCAGAGCAGTTGCAAAGGAAATGTCGTCCTACCAGGGAGCTCTTTGGCTTTCATTCCCACAGGGCATGGGTGGAATTAAGACTTTGGTGGGCTTTCATAACAGATTAAATACTTAGGTCCTTCTGGGACTCTGGGGAATGTTAGTTGCTAAGTTTTTAGGAGGCAAGACGAAAGAAATTTCTTAAGTAGTTTACAGGCTGTTGATGGAGATGGGCTTAGTGGAGCATGTTGTGAAGCTTTTGTGTTCCTAGAGGAAAATGACTTTCCAAGTGTAAAGACTGACAATACTCTGTTTTAAACAGAGCCTTCAAAAGACAGCGAGGGAGGCGAGAACGACCGCAGTGCTAGAGCACGGAGCCAGGTTGTCATGGCCCTCAACCACCAGAAATGGAAGGTATAGTACATAGCACTGGGTGCTTTTGGTTAAGCAGTCTGAGAACTGTGCTGTTTCGCACTCTGAGGACCAGTGTTCCTGTGTATATTACCACTACATTTAACCTTATGGGTTCTAGAACAATCATAGGTCTAATGAGTGCTTTTAACTGCAAGAAAACTGAGAATTGGGATAGCAATTCCATCTGTAATCCTTGGAGCCTGGTCAGTTGAAGTGCTTTTAAGTTGTGCAGTGACTTGGCTTCACTGTTTTAGGAGGACTGCATAAATCTGGAGTCTGTTTCTTCCCTTATAACTGATACTTGCTTCTTGAGGGGAAGTTCTCCATGTGATTTCCTCACTGATTGACACTTGTAATAAATTGTAGACAAAAAGTACTTTGGAACACATACAGCTCTTCTTTGTCCCTCACTCAGAATGTGCAGAAGAAATTTAGTAATTTGAAATAGTGTTTTAGTATGAGAAACTTTATAACTTCCCTGGTGGTAACTGCAATAATGAAATAGTTCAAGTCTTGGAACTTACATGCTCTTGTCATCTCTAACCAGGAGATCGTAGAAACATATGAAATAACAGAACCCATGATTGGTCCTCCTTACTACAGAAATGAAGATGAAATGGAGATACCTTAATTCTTCAAGTAAGTTCTTGTAAATCACACTAAATAAGGGTGCACTGCCTGAGTTCCTCATGCACGTGGGAGAACCAGGGGGAAAATACCTGGAACTTAGAAAGGTAGAAAACCTGTAAGCAGAGTAATTGTAAAATGTCTAGAACACTTCTATATTCTTAACCTTTTCATGGAGCAAAATGTAATCTAGTCTTTTACACAGTAATTAACTGGAAAAAAAATCACATTTGAAGGTCAGTTAAGTGATAGATTTAATTTTTGGAACTTTATACTCATACTTGGAATGTGATGCTGTGAAGAATCAGTTTAATTTTTGTATTTCTTTTTTTAATGCACTGAGAGATGATGTTAATACAGTAGTCTGAAGAAGGACTTAGGGAAGCAGACAGCTTGGTTCCCTCTAAAATCCTTCAAAAGATAGGATTGAATTCTTCTTTTGTCAGGGTTGTTTGATAGGTTCTAAATCTTAATGCATATTGTCTTACTGTTTTTTCTTTTTTTGTTTTTCCCCTGTAGGTGCCTTAAAGAAAGTATTTTAAGATGTTTCCTTTGGAAAATATTTTGTATGTATATATTGTAATATTAAATTTATTTTTATGGAAACATCTTGACACTTGGTATGTCTTGTATCTAAACCTGTCACAGGGTTATTGCCATATAATTCTATTTATTACTTTACTACTTTATTTAAAGTCTACTGACACTTAGAAGCTTTTATGAAAAGAGAATGCTATCCACCTTCTTTCAGCCCTGTAGAAGCCTGCAAGTGGAGTTTACATGGTTAATCATTTCTGCTGTGATAATCTTATCTAGATCATCTTGGGTGCTGCAGGAGAAATTGGTATTGTCTTCCAGTTTTTACTCTTCTGGAAATCGAAGGTTCACTTTGGTCTAAATTACAGATTAAAATTCCTCCTTCCTTTTCTATTTTTCTATTCCTCTTCCTTCTTCTATTTGGTTTTGCAACTTAGCAGGGCCTGTTGTGACAGGACAGGGGGTGAGGGTTCTAAAGTAAAGGAGGTGAGATTTAGATGAGATAGAAGGAAGAATTTTTCACACAGAGTGGTGAAAACACTGTCCCAGGTTGCCCAGAGAAGGTGGTCGATGCTCCATCCCTGGAGACAGCGACGTTGGCCGGGGCTGTGGGCAACCTGCTCTGGTGGCAGATGTCCCTGCTCCCTGCTGGGGGTTGGACTCGATGAGCTTTACACGGCCCTTCCCACCTGTGAGAAGCGAGTCCTCATTCTTGGCTTTTGCAGACTACAAGACCCGACCTCCCTGGCGGGCTCCGGGAATCTCGCGAAGATTTTCCCTCCG